CATGGCACTAGTGCCCCTAGATGGCGCTGACGAGTATAGGTAATTCCTATATGATGGACGGATGCCTCTTACATGGCACTAGTGCCCCTAGATGGCGCTGACGAGTATAGGTAATTCCTATATGATGGACGGATGCCTCTTACATGGCACTAGTGCCCCTAGATGGCGCTGACGAGTATAGGTAATTCCTATATGATGGACGGATGCCTCTTACATGGCACTAGTGCCCCTAGATGGCGCTGACGAGTATAGGTAATTCCTATATGATGGACGGATGCCTCTTACATGGCACTAGTGCCCCTAGATGGCGCTGACGAGTATAGGTAATTCCTATATGATGGACGGATGCCTCTTACATGGCACTAGTGCCCCTAGATGGCGCTGACGAGTATAGGTAATTCCTATATGATGGACGGATGCCTCTTACATGGCACTAGTGCCCCTAGATGGCGATAATGAATGAATGAATGATTACATGCAGACCGCCGCTTACAAAATAGGTTGGGAAAAAAATAGTGCATGCGTGATTTTTTTTCCAACCGCACTGCACAGCAACACACGACATTACGGTACCAGGCATTGCGACATGGTCGCTCACATTGTAGGCAGTGCATTTGGGGTGTCCGTCAAATGAATGCCAATGCAATGCACCTCCAACACACGGACTCGGTTGAATGGGCCCTTTGGCCTCATTCACATGAGAAACGGCCGGCATGTACAGCTCCGTGCACCGCCGTATTGGGCAGCTCCGGGGAAGGACAGGTGCTGCGTGTGATTAGTATGAAGCCCCTGTCCTTCTCTATGGGAGAACGCGGCCACAAGCTGCCCTACACTCACCCGCCCTGCACGTCCGTGCGGGTGAGCGTTCCCGTACCGGATGGATCCTGTCTGCGTCCAAGCCAGGACACCCACACCCATACGGACCTGCACTTGGGGTGAGCGTAGGGTAGCCTACGGCCGCTTACTCCCGTAGAGAAGGATATGGGCTGCGTACTAATCACACGCAACACCTGTCCTTCCCGTGAGCTGCCCGATACGGCCGCGCACGCAGCACGGAGCTGTACGTGCCAGCCTTTTCACGTGTGAATGAGGTCTTAAATAAATTCAGCGGTTGCTGCTATTTATCATACGAACAAAATCATTACAGAGAGAAGGAAATATCTCATCCGGGATCAATCAGAAATGAAGTTTACGTAACAGGTTCCCTGTCTGAACTTTCCTGAATGTGACAGAATAATATTTATATAATAATAATAATAATAACTTCCCCCCAACTGTAAAAGAATAACTTGATGAAGGTGCCCCCCCTCTCCCAGTATATTAGTGTGCTGTCCTTGTGCCCCCCACCAGTCACATGATTGGAACAAGTGCCAGCCATTTCTGTACACACAACCTCCATAATGGAGAATCTACTGCAACAAATGTAACAATCTGTGTTCTAATAATCAGAGGACAGGAAGTCATCCATTCGCAGCTGATGGTTTCATAACATAATTCTATTTACAAATAGAAAACAAAACAACAAATATGTGACATCAATAGATGATCTCCCAGCGGACCAGAGGAGACATAAACAGTACAATGTGTCTGCTGGAAGGGCAATGTCTACAATACAGAACACACATGGATGTAGGTGAAGGATCGTCCTGTCCTGTCCCTCTTACCATTCTTGATCACTTTTCTCTTCGCATCTTTATCAAACACCACCGGTCCAGGGGGCCTCCTGGTGTCCACAGCCAAGGGGTTGGGTCCTCGGCTTCCCAGCCAGGTCTTGAGGAGGATAAAGATGACAGAGCCCCCGAGGATGATATAGAGCCACATGACTGCTGAATGCCTGCAGCCTGGACCTGAGCTCTGCCTCTTGTACACACAGAGGTATGGGCTGGATTAGTGACACTTCCTCCTGCTGTAACGCCTCCTGTGTCTGACAGCAGCAGAGGAGGGCCCAGGGCTCTGGCATTCACATAGCAGATTAACCCCTTGCTGCCAGGGGCCCCAGTACACATCAAGGTATTGGAAATGAGTTATAAAAAAGGCTGAGGGTCTCCATATTTAAAGTGGAAGAAAAGTCTAGCCAATACCTTGTCTGTTTAAAGTGCAACTGAAGCCATTTTTTAGTTTTTAGTTTTGGATGGAGTGGAGGGGGGATTAGAACCCCTGTCAGGCTTTCTTGCTGTTTGTGTCCCCATTAGGGAGATTCACTCCCTCTATTCATACTGTTGACTGAAAGTGAAAAGAAGAGGAACAATCTAAATTTTGGGTTTGTCAATAGAAGGAATAGATAAGACATTTTTCAATGGGCTTACCCTCATGCTGATCACCAGGGATTTCCCTCTCTTTGGAGGGATTTCCTCTCACTTCCTGTTTTGGCTATCAAACAGGAAGTGAAGAGATAACTCCCCCATGGGACACAGATGGCAAAAAGAAAAGCTGACAGGGATTATAAACCTCCCTTACTTTAAAAAAGTTGCGACTTCAGCTGGAAGCCAAAGGTTATCTTTGCAGACCATGTATGCTACTGAATATCCATAGGAATGTCCTCGGTATGGACAGGGATGGGAGGAAGAGCCTGCAGGAGCCAGCAGAGCATTGCACCCAGGATCGGATTTACTCTCCCCAAGGCCAGGTTCCGCTTAAACCGTATTGCTATCACACAGGAGCTAACAAGCCCCTGTGTGATAGCATTTGGAGGTGATTCTCTTTATTGAACCTGTCACCTCCAACAGTTTTTTTGCTTTTTTTTTTTGCTTTACGTAAATTGCTGTCATATAGGGGGGATTACAAGCCCCCATGTGATAGCATATTGGTGGTGACAGGTCCTCTTTAGTCCTGGTTCACACTGAGCATTTTGGAGTGCTTTTTCTGCCCTAAAAAACGCTCCAAAAATCTGCCATCCCAAAAATTCCAATTCTTTTCTATGGCCCTGTTCACATTTGAACATTTTGTCGCAATAAGCAAAACGCCTGTGGCTTTTTTTTGGCATATTACAGCTCGTTTTGGCCCCATAAACTCAATCGTAAACGCTTGAAAATGCCCGTTTGCTGTGTTTTTGCGCGTTTTTATGCACTTTTTCTCATTAACATCAATGAGCTACAATCTGCTCACAAAAACCTGCTTTTTGCCTTATGCGCATAAAACGCAAATAAAAACGCACACAAAACACTAGAAAACATGCATCAAAAACGCACAAAAACGCTGTCGCCTAGGTGTGAACCAGGCCTAAGGTTGTACTGGGGGTCCAAAAGACCCCTAGTGTCACCTTTCCACTTTAAGTAAGCTATTGAAGTGCAGATCACACTTCAATAGCTTATTGCTCGGCTTCAGCAACCAAGCAATGACAGCTATGGGACCGGAAGTGATGTAATACTCGTCACTCCCGGTCCCATAGAGCGGGGGGGGGGGAAATCAGTAAATGGTGGCCCGTGAAAGTGATCTGGGGGCAGCTGAGCCGTCAGAATCGGTTCCATTGTAAAGCCGTTCAATGTTTAATTCCTTGTTTTTTACTGGCTCCCCGCAGTGCTCTCCATGCGCCTCAGGCCCAGGCTCTCCCTACGCCACTCCTCTCCGCCCAATGGCAGAAGCCTATGGCTCCTCTGCCCTCAATCTCCTCCCCCTCAAAACAGGAAGTTCAGACGGAGGATCGCTTCGGGGACTGGCAGCGGTGACAAGTGACGCTAATACTGTAGGTAATTGTGGGGGGCACAGGGGACTCAAAAAGATAGCGGGCATTTTTATCTTAATACAGCGAATGTACTAAGGGAAAGAACGCTCAAACTTTAGGGTCAACACACACGTTACAATCTGCCCTTACAATCTCTATACAATCAAATTTAGATCTACCAAATCTATAGTATGTAATATTAGGACATACTCAATCTATCCAATCAATCTGTATACAATCAGGTAGGCCCTTGTACTACACACTTGTTGGTAGATCTAAAGGAGATTGTACAATCAGATTGTAACGCATGTGGTGAGCTTTAGTAATCCTTTAATGAGATATTTTCTGAAAGCAGAGACCCTGGAGCATAAAATGCGGTAGAATGAGAACGGCCGGGTTACCTGGTGTGACTGACCTTGGCCAAGACTAATCACCTTTCACCCCCAAATCTTATCATTTCCTGCCAGGTATAAAGCAGATCAATAAGTAACACAATGTTTTTATTATCTGAAATCACGTTATTACATTGCTCAACCCCAAAAAATAACGTTCCAGAAGGGTACTGGGGCAAACAGTCTTTGAACAAGCCAGGACAAAAATTACAGAGAGCTATATATATCTCCTTACTTATGCATGTTAAATCAAATCATAACGTGACCAGATTCTGAATAAAAGGTACAGCACCCCTAATGTATCAAGTCAAAAAATGAAGAGAGGGGGTGGGGCTTTTTTCAGTACCAAGTGACAAAGACCCAAAAATTACTACATGATAAAACAAGAGTATTTTATTATACAAAGAGTACCCCCTTCGTGACGGGAGACATACACTGTACGTCCCGCCACAAAGTGCCTATATGACTGGCCACGTACACTGTACGTGACCAGTTATTTAAGGCTCTGTAATGCTGGTAACCGCTGATTCTCATCAGTTACCATTCATTAATGGATGGGCCAGTATTGAGGCATTCATTAATAAAATAGTTAAGCTGTTGTAAAAGCTTCTTTCTTTCCTTAATGAAAGAATGAAGCCGTTACATACAAATACCGTATCGCTAAATAGCGATCCGGTATTTGACAGCTAAAGATAGCAGAGAGGTCGCAGAGTGAGTCACCTCTCTGCTATTCGTTTTCACAGCTCAATAGACTGGCCTGAAGTTTATGATACATTTCAGACACACGAATGTAACAATGTATCTCTGTGCCTGAAATGTATCACTTTTGATCGTCTGGGCACTACCAGAAACCGTAAAGGAGAACTATGGGGTTAAGGCTTTTCCCCATAGTTCTCCTTAGGGTAACTGGAGGACACAAACTAGCGTCCTCCCGTCACCCTAATCTCAGTATACCGCGAGCTACAGCACAATATATAATATGAGTGGGCACATTTAGTAAGAAAGTATATTACTCCTGTGGAAGAATCACACAGCAAAAATGTAAAAAGTGTGTCAGTCATTTACAAACAGAAACTGAAAACAAGCTCAGTCATGAAGGGGTTAAAAATGTTTAAAAACCTAATTCATATGTACACATTACAAAACAGAAAAAGAAAAACAGATTGATCTCCAAATAACCATTCCAGAGTTATAATGTGAGGCTAGACGGCCATGACAAACGTAATTGATATAACGTGTTCTCGTACACGAATGCCTCTTCTTATATCAGGAATGGTGATTCTCTCTCATCGCGTTTCGCGCTCCAAGCGCTTCCTCAGGAGATAGAGGAGATCGCTGCCAGAGAGTAATCCGTGCGCGCCCGGCCAGGCCAGCAGAGCAAAGGCCCAAGCATGCCCAAGGACAGAGAGGACCTTCCCAATAGATGGTGGGGAGAGGGTGATAAGCGGACAACCATCAAAAGCTGAAGGTTATCGAAAAAGACCCCAAACAGGGGGATCCACAAAGAGCGCAGTCCGCGATCACCTCTGAGCCGTCAGTGTCCACGCGGTCGCAGCTCGACGGCCGCTGAGCCGAACCTCCGGCAGTTCACTCGCTTCCGTTCGCCCTTATTGACAAACGGCAATGAGTGAATAGCCGAGTGGCGCCAAACGGCATTAGCCTCGCTTATTCTGTTCGCTACCTCTGAGGTAGAGGGCAGAATTTTAAAAAAATGTAATAAAAAAAAAAAGAAATGTAAAAAAAATAATTACAAAAAATTCTCGTCTGATCACTCCAGTGTTTGTAAATAACTAGGGACACATAGTACATAGTACTATGTGTCCCCCAGTTATGAATGAACAGGCTGTGATTTACATCACAGCCTGTCATATCAAGATTTCCTCAATGGGGAGAAGCACTCAGTACAGAGGCTCCTCCCCATTCAGAAACAGCTATATTTCCAAAGCCCCCCCAACAGTACAAAATAAATAAATAAAAAATTATGAAAAAAATAATACAAAATTTAAAAAGTGAAAACAGCCCCCCCTCACACACACGCACACACACAAACGTATTATTAGACATGTGCGAAGACTAAAAATTAATTTCAGATGAAATGAACGAAAACTAAAAAAGTTTTAATTTGTTTCATCAAACAAAACACTTTTTTATGCTATTTTGGATTCAGGCATTGGCGTGTTCTGGAGGCAGGGCGCATGACGTCATATAACACCGCACGTGTTGGGCGCCGCCATCTTGGTGTATATCTAGGGCCAATATGGGCGTGTGACGTCACCTGACGCCACGCATGCATGGCGTCATGTAACGTCATGCTCTCTGCCTCCAAGATGGTGGCACGCATTCACAGAACACGCCGGTGGCCAACATGGCCGCCGCAACTTCTCAAACAAATTATTATGTGCCCGAATACATTTCTCGTATATTCGGACATATAGTTATTCATTCATTTTACAAGTAGTCCGGGTTTTGTGTTCTGTTTTCTATTTTTACTTTTCTAGATGCACATACTTGAAGAAAGGGTTGGCATGACAACCTGACACTTTATTTGTATATACTCTATTTTAGTTTGACATTTATTGTTTACCTTCTGTTGTTTTATTTGATAAGAATACTTCTATTGTGCCTACAAGTTTAATACCTTTGAATAAAAGTTTTATTTTTATCATACTTTTTAATATGTTTCTTTGCGGCTTAACAAAATAGGAGTCTTTAAATGGTGCGGATATTGGGGAAAATGGGTGTGGTTACAGGGGTGTGGCCACTAAAGGGTGTGACCACTGAGGGGTGTGGTCACTGAGGGGCGCTGTAAAGCTTTCTCGCACAGGGCGCCTAAAGGCCTAAGGCCGGCTCTGGCTGTACGGGCTATTGTGAATAGTCCGTACATCAGCCCTTCGGTTCGGCTGAACTAGAGGGCTGCGGTGGCCGAAGTGAGCCGAAGGATCAGCCAATGCTTCGGCTTAATCCTTCGGCTCCTTCGTGAATAACCCTCTAAATCTTATCTCCCCACCATAGCTGTAGCTATTCCTACTGTGTACTACCAGATCCAATATAACCGAATGTACCCGAAAAATTGGAGAGAGATCCCTTTATAATGGCTGATGCAAGTAAGTGGAAATGAAAGGTAAAAACATCCTGCTGATGTAATCCAGAAGCCATCCTACTGGCAATACTGTACATGAGCATGCAAGAGCACGTTGTAACAGTGCTGGGGATATTCCAAGTGCACGGCCTGAGGGAGGGGCAGTCTTTGGGGTGTATTTATAAGAAAACAACCCAAAAACAAATGTTATTAGTATTTTTTCTTTCCAAGTTGAATGTAATTTTAGGAAAGTACCAATTTTCTTTTTATAGAACTTTCTCTCTCAGGTCGGCTCCTTTGCAGAAGTGCAATAGACAATAGCAGGCTGGCTATTGCTCCTCCCACTGCTTTCTGTCATTCAGCAGAGGAGCGGACCTGAAAATGAACTTTCTCTCTCAGGTCTGCTCCTCTGTGGACTGACAGAAGGCAGTGGGTGGCAGCCATTCTGCTATTGGATATTTTAAAGTGCAATAGCCAATAGCAGGCTGGTTATTGCTCCACCCCTTGCCTGATATCAATCAGCAGAGGAGCGGACCTAAGCGAGAAAGTTCTCTTTCAGGTCCGCTCCTCTGCTGATTGACAGAGGGCAGTGGGAGGAGCAATAGCCAGCCTGCTATTGGCTATTGAAATTTAAAATAGCCAATAGCTGGCTTTGTTTATTTCTGCCCCGATGTAATCATTGCATCAGGGAGGTTTTGTTTTTTTCATTTGTCGGCCGACGCTGGAATGACTTTGTGGGACATTTTTGACATTTATTTTAAATAAAGGAGTTGTCAAAAACTTGTGTTTTTAATCAAAGAAACTTTCTCTAAGGTGTTGTGTGTTACTTACATTTTATTTATCCCTTTAGTAAATGAGCAGGGGTAGAAGTACCCCTTACTCATTCACAAGGGGAGGGGGTGACATCTGACTGCCCCTTATGAAAGGGGGTACCCAGATGCAGATGCGCCCCCCTGCCCACAGACCATAAGTACTATCCTTGTCGCACTCCTTACCGATATGTCCCTTATAGTGGGGGGTGCTCGCAGTGACCGCGGATGGCGCCGCGAATGTCAGCAATTGTAGAAATGTCACCAGCACACCAATCCTTATAAGATAGCAAAAGCTTCATTTATTGAAGTTTTTTGTCATATGATCAAACAAGCGCTTTCGGGACCGCACAATAAATGAAGCTTTTGCTATCTTAAAAGGATTGGTGCGCTGGTGACATTTCTACAATTCCTGCCCACAGACCCCCACAACCACCGGGTCAGGGTTCTGGGGAAGAGGCCCTTATCTCCATCGGCATGGGGGCATGGTGCTTTTCTAAGGGGTCCCCCTCGGAAAAGCATCCTCCAATGCGGAGGGCATGTGGCCTGGTATGGTGGAAGGGGGGCGGGGGGCGCTTGCTCGCCCCCCCCCCTTTCCTGCCCTTCCAGGCTGCTGCCCGGATTAAGGGTCTGGTATGGGATTTTAGGGGGGACCCCATGTTTTTTTTTTTTGGAGTTTTTTGTTTTGTTTTTTCCCTTACATCAGGGGTCGCCACTGACATTCCTACCTGACCTAAAGTGTTTTTTTGTTTTTGTTTCTGCGAAGTGTCAAAAGTTAAAAAGAAACAGAGTAAACATTTAATGTCACTTTTCTGCGATTAAGTTTCATTAGCAATGATCATTTAACTCATCCAAAATTAATGAAAATTTGGATTCATCCGAATGCTAAAACAAAATGACTTTCGGACCCGAATATCGAAAAAAAGAAATAACGTAACACCCAAAACTAAACAAAACAAATTTTGTCCTGGCTTACATGTCTATTAAATGGCCAGCCCACCCAAATTGGATATTTCAATTATAGGCAGGCACTTATAACCCACCAGTTATATGTCTTCAAGGTCATATTTATCCCTTTTCACCCCAAGACCATCTACCACGTGCATGTACTTCCTGATGCCGACTAGACAATGGTGGAGAAAAGGCATCATGCATGTAGGATCAATGGTGCCAGGGTTCTGCTTTAAACTTTTTGAGCAAGATGGAGAAGGACAAGGCATCAGCTTTAGTATTCTTCTCTGCCAGAGGACAGGTCAGACCAAAGCCAACTATGGAAGAGAATAGGGCCCAGCAGCACTGGCACGGATCAAGTCTTTATACAGACTGTAAATATTGCAAATGTGTAGCTAGTGAATGGGAACTTGGCCCCAATAGCCAATGGTGCTACACTTCCAAGGACAGCTTGACTGCTTACAGTTTGTGGTCTCCAATGGGGTAATTAATTGTAGCTTTAAGAAAGAAAATCACAGGGATTCAGTTTACCAGGATCATTGCTCTGAGACAGAAATGCACCAACTCCCATGGCAGAAATGTCAAATGCTTGACCTTTAAATGGTGAGGGAGGTGATGGGGCTACCAGAATAGAACAGCATTTAATGAACTGCCAGTATTAGGGAGCCCCAAAATATTTGCACTGCCTTCAGATCAGGCAGTTGGGGTCAATTCAACACTGCACTGCAGTGTTTGTGTGCAATGAATGTTCAGATCAGGGGAAAAGATCAGAAGGTTGTATGCAGACATATAGCAGGTCAAGGAAGGTGTCTGTCACAAAATTTTGGAAGACAGCAGGTATATGTCTCCATTGGGCAGGCAAAGTGCTTGTTACCAGGTTTGTAGTTCAGTTAGTGAGATATATGGTGGCAAATCAAAAAAATCCCAATAAGATTCGGGAATGCCAAGTAATGGTGTCATGGCCCCTTGGTATACAGGTCATGTAGGCAGAACTTGAAAAAGATATTGCAACTGGCCCTCCAAGCCAGTAGCTCACCACACACCTTGTTGACCACTGTGGTATGGGCGTGGAGCCAAAGTATCTCAAAGATAACAGAATCCACTGACTTCCAACAGTGTGAATGACTACTTGTGGAATGCACCAATTCACACAGTCATAGTTTCTGTGGCATAATTATTGCTGCCCAGGTTGACAGATACATAAATGGTAGACACAAAAAGTGTTCTTTCCAACAGAACCACTGTTATCCAAGATTTACTTATCAAAAGATGGTCCAAAAAGTTTACTAGAGTTAAAAAATGCCTGAATCCAGAGTGTTGTACGACTGTTAGATTGTAAGCCCTCAGGGGCAGGGCCCTCCTTACCATCTTGTCTTGAATTGTATTGTGATTGTAATGTCTTTATACTAATTATAATAATTCCTGTCATTTCCCCAAACAGCTGAACGCCCAGTCCTGTCCAGCAGGGGGCAGTGTTTGTTTGCAGTGTCATGGCTGCACAGGAAGCGAGCCGCGCTCTCTGGTTTACCATGGAAACCAGATACTATCACGTCCCCCTCGAAGGCGGATGTATTACGTAACGGACTTGTGACGTCAGAGCCGCGTGACTCTCCGCCAGCACTGGTATGATCGGGGAGGCGGGGCGAGGGGGTATCACGTGACCCGGAAGAATAATGCAGTCAGCGGCGTTGTGGATGTAAGGGTGAGTATTAGTGGTGACCGGGTGTCAGCGGGGCGGAGAAGTGCACGGTGCCCGGGTGTAGGTGACCCTGTGCTGAGGAGACACTGAGGGAGGTTGTGGTTTACCTAGGAGAGGCTGTGAAGGTAACAAGGAGGTAGGTGGGGGCTACACTGGGTGCCATGGGCTCGCAGGGCATTGTGGGACTTGTAGTTGCCCCAGCAGCTGCAGAGCAGCAGTGAGGACAGGTTGATGGGCTCCCAATATGCTGTTTTGCAGGCAGAGCCTTCTAGCATCATATCCTATAATGATAGCAGAATGAAGGGCGGTGTGTACAGCAAGCTTGTGTAAAGTTTCCACAGGCAACAGGTTCACTTTGAAGTCAAGGACAGATATGAAGCTGAGCTCCGGGGCCTGACATTGTTTATTTATATGTATTCTTCAATAGCCGTGCAGGATATAAATCCACTTTGTGTGCATCAGATATTTCCTTGTAAATGGGGCAGTGACGTCATCATCCGCCCAGTTGTTATTGTTGAATGACAGAACAGCATCCCCAGGTCATTTGGGGGCACTGATCTGCCATTACAACTGGGCGGAGTCAGCCGTGAGATCATGGCTGGCTCCGCCCAGCTGTCATTTGCGTAGAGAGAGGTCCACTTCGGCCGACCATTCTTCACGCTTTTGGTGGGACTACGGCTCAGCTGAGCCGAAGCATATGCCTTCGGCTCGGCTGAGTCGCTTGGCTGCCTTCGGGCTGCTGTACTGGCTATAGTGAATAGCCCAGACAGGAGCCCTTCGGTTCCAGCGAGCTGAAGGATCAGCCGAAACTACAGCTGGATCCTTCTGCTCTTTAGTGAATAACCCTCTAAATCTCATAAGGTAATACTCTTTACAACCACAGGCATGACTTCCAGAGCCAGATGCATGATGGGATTTAAAGTCACATTAAAGCATACATTTATTTTCCCTCCCCCCCATGTTAATGTCAGCACTTACCTTAACCAGTTGACATCCGCGGTGTTAAACCCCCTTCCCATCCAGGCCATTTTTCAGTATTCAACGCTGCGGTACTTTGACTGACATTTATTCCGTCATGCAACGCTGTACTGAAAAGATTTTTATACCATTTTTTTGGGGACACAGAACTTTATTTTGATGGTATTTAATCATCACTGGGGGTTTTTTTTTTTCTATATAATGGAAAAAGTTCAAAAATGTTTTCCCTACTTTGTCATAAAAGATTTATTATTACCCAATTTTTTGGTAAAATATAAAAGACGGGGTCACGTCGGGTAAATAGACACCAAACATGCCAAGCTTTAAAATTGTGCGCACCCGCGAAAACGCAAAAAACGACCATACCTAAAATTGACCATGGGCGACGCTTTAAAAGCTTTTACCGCTCCTCTGTTTTGTGTTATCAGTGATTGATAGCCCTAACTTTATTGCTCTCACTTCGACGTTCGTGGCGATATGTAACGTGTGGCGTAATCGTTGTTTTCACACATAGGCGCACCTGACATGTATTTATTTTTATTTGTGCGTACACGTGGGGCCGGGGAACTTAAATTGCATTTTTTTCTTCAATATGTGACTTCCATTTTTTTTTTACACTTAACGTTATTGCTATCACATAGGGGGCTAACAATCCTCCTATGTAATAGCCAATATACACTGACAGGTCCTCTTTATGGAGACATCAGGGGTCTCTAAGACCCCTAATGTCACCTAGGGACCCCCAAAGTAGCTGATGAAGCCGAGATCTTCTTCCCCAGCGTCTTATCTGGCTATAGCAGTCAGAGAAATGACAGCTAAAGGCAGAAGTGATGTAATAGACATCGCTTCCGCCTTTATGGGCTGCACGCTGTTTGTTGTCATACAAGCGATCGGACGGCTGTATAGCTACACGAACGCTTGTATGTATCAGCCGGTACTGGCTGCTTACATGCACAGCGGGATTCTGCTTACACGTCCGTGCTAGGGGGCACGCATGAGCAGGAAAAGAAAAATGACGTACAGGCACGCCCACCCGCCGCAAAGAGGTTTGCCATCCGCCCGTGCAGTTACAATGGGCGGAGTGCAAGTGGTTATGGGGTATCTGTGGTCACAAACTAAAAATAAATCCGTATTTCTATATTGAATTTCTATAAGTTCTCTCCCGCTCCTAATAACCAGATCCATCTAGAAGTGTGTAAACTTACTTACTGAAGATGCCTATAGGATGAACTTCATCTATGCACTGACACCATTTCACTCAGCCCAGTGAATATGAACTTCCTGGTGTCACCACTCTCACAGAGCCTGCTGGCTGAACTACAACTCAACATCTGAACAATGTAACATGATCATTGCTTGCTGGGAGCAATGCATGATGGGATTTGTAGTCTTAAGAAATGGAGATTGCATCACATCAAGCAGCAGGGAAAGAGACACAAAGCACACTGGGAGTCCAGGAAGTTGATGGAAGTGATGGGCAGACAGAAGTCGGCACTCCATACTTAAAAGGGATTTTTTTCTAGTAAGCTTTGATTGTATTATCAGACACAACTCTACTATGTATTCCTATTACACTGCTGATGTCATAACAGGAGAGGAGATGCTGGGACCTTACAACTCCTTTAACCCCTTCATGACTGAGGCCCTTTTTTCATTTTTTGCTGGGGGGGGCGGCCCCTTCTTCGGGACGCAGAAGCGATCTGGCGACAGGTAAGTCGCCAGGATCGCTTCTGTTGTAAAGCCGACAGTCGGCTCTACAAGTTTAAACAGAGTCCCGGCGGATAAAGTCTGTTTAAACAGCCCCGATGCTGGCGACGTACACTGTACGTCGTCAGTCACGAAGGGGTTAAGCAATTGAGAACAGGTCCCATTTTCAAAGTTTGCAACTCCTTTAACCTCCCTGGCGGTCTGATTATTTCATTTTTTTTTTCCCCTTTTCTTGTTCTATTTTTTTAACTTTTAAAATTCCCGCCGGTTCCGCCCCCTTGCGACGCGGACGTTCGCAAGGGACGGATGCCGGCATCGGCCGGAGGACACAGCGCGGCTCGAGGCACAAGGTAAGTTACGCTACGCTGTAATTCCGAGTGTGGCTCTGGGTTGCTTATGGTACTGAAAATTAACCCCGAGTCACACTCGGGAATACCGCCAGGGAGGTTAAGGTTTGCCCACAGCTGGCGGGGGACGAACTTTGGCTACCCCTTTCTAGAGTATAGGCTGTACCCCTGGGGCAGAAGTGGTCAACTTTGTTGATATAGGGGACCTCAAGTGCAGACTCTGACTTCACCAAAGGGCCACATATAATATATGGAGGGAGTAATGCTATAGAAAGCCGGCTTGCTGTTAGACCGGCCCCTTCCAGTGTCTCTCCCCCTCATCTGCAGCGGTCTAAGGATCCTCGAGTCATTACAGCCAATACACATTGGGGGGAATTGATCAAAACTGGAGCAGACAAGATCGGGAGCAGCTGTGCACGGCAACCAATCAGCTTCTCTTTCATTTTCAAATCTTAACTGAAGAGAGAAGCTGATTGGTTGCCCTGGGCAACGGCTCCAGTTTTGTTTTTTGTTTGCTCCAGTTTTGATAAATTTTATAGGACCCTGCAAGGGAAAGGAGTCACCCTAAAACAGGACATCAGGTCCAATGCTCAGAAGACCAGCTGATTCTGCAGGAAACTAAAACATTCTGTCATCAAAGAGAAGCATCCATTGTAAGTGATTTCATCAGCAATTGAGAGGGCTTTTAAACGTTTTGACTTAAAGCTCCCGACACATGTTCCAGTCTGTAAAGCTCAGCACACATGTTCCAGTCTGTAAAGCTCCCCACACACGTTCCAGTCTGTAAAGCTCCCCACACGCGTTCCAGCCGGTAAAGCTCCCCACACACGTCCCAGCCTGTAAAGCGCCCCACACACGTTCCAGTCTGTAAAGCTCCCCACACGCGTTCCAGCCGGTAAAGCTCCCCACACACGTCCCAGCCTGTAAAGCGCCCCACACACGTTCCAGTCTGTAAAGCTCCCCACACGCGTTCCAGCCGGTAAAGCTCCCCACACACGTCCCAGCCTGTAAAGCGCCCCACACACGTTCCAGTCTGTAAAGCTCCCCACACGCGTTCCAGCCGGTAAAGCTCCCCACACACGTCCCAGCCTGTAAAGCGCCCCACACACGTTCCAGTCTGTAAAGCTCCCCACACGCGTTCCAGCCGGTAAAGCTCCCCACACACGTCCCAGCCTGTAAAGCGCCCCACACACGTTCCAGTCTGTAAAGCTCCCCACACGCGTTCCAGCCGGTAAAGCTCCCCACACACGTCCCAGCCTGTAAAGCGCCCCACACACGTTCCAGTCTGTAAAGCTCCCCACACGCGTTCCAGCCGGTAAAGCTCCCCACACACGTCCCAGCCTGTAAAGCGCCCCACACACGTTCCAGTCTGTAAAGCTCCCCACACGCGTTCCAGCCGGTAAAGCTCCCCACACACGTCCCAGCCTGTAAAGCGCCCCACACACGTTCCAGTCTGTAAAGCTCCCCACACGCGTTCCAGCCGGTAAAGCTCCCCACACACGTCCCAGCCTGTAAAGCGCCCCACACACGTTCCAGTCTGTAAAGCTCCCCACACGCGTTCCAGCCGGTAAAGCTCCCCACACACGTCCCAGCCTGTAAAGCGCCCCACACACGTTCCAGTCTGTAAAGCTCCCCACACGCGTTCCAGCCGGTAAAGCTCCCCACACACGTCCCAGCCTGTAAAGCGCCCCACACACGTTCCAGTCTGTAAAGCTCCCCACACGCGTTCCAGCCGGTAAAGCTCCCCACACACGTCCCAGCCTGTAAAGCGCCCCACACACGTTCCAGTCTGTAAAGCTCCCCACACGCGTTCCAGCCGGTAAAGCTCCCCACACACGTCCCAGCCTGTAAAGCGCCCCACACACGTTCCAGTCTGTAAAGCTCCCCACACGCGTTCCAGCCGGTAAAGCTCCCCACACACGTCCCAGCCTGTAAAGCGCCCCACACACGTTCCAGTCTGTAAAGCTCCCCACACGCGTTCCAGCCGGTAAAGCTCCCCACACACGTCCCAGCCTGTAAAGCGCCCCACACACGTTCCAGTCTGTAAAGCTCCCCACACGCGTTCCAGCCGGTAAAGCTCCCCACACACGTCCCAGCCTGTAAAGCGCCCCACACACGTTCCAGTCTGTAAAGCTCCCCACACGCGTTCCAGCCGGTAAAGCTCCCCACACACGTCCCAGCCTGTAAAGCGCCCCACACACGTTCCAGTCTGTAAAGCTCCCCACACGCGTTCCAGCCGGTAAAGCTCCCCACACACGTCCCAGCCTGTAAAGCGCCCCACACACGTTCCAGTCTGTAAAGCTCCCCACACACGTTCCAGTCTGTAAAGCTCCCCACACGCGTTCCAGCCTGATTGATGTGCCAATAAGTATGTCATGCAAGGGCCTACGCGATTGGATACAAATTGGATGGTTAGATTAGGTATGTCCCTTTTATTACATAGGTTTGGTGGATTTATGGTCACATTGTAACTTGTGTGGTGAGCCTTGATCTTCAGATTTCATTACAGTGATGCCTGGCGATTCTGCCATGGAGGTCCTTGTTTAGGAACTTCCTGTTATGGGGTGACAACTCTATGACTTCTGCGCTGTTACCCTGTCACATGTGGTGGTGGCGGCTCCAGGCAGCCATGCTGACGCACATTACACATTCATAAGTCACCTTTGTCACTAACAGAGAGCCAGTCCAGAGCAATGATATGCATGTAGACAGGAAGTGGCTGAAAGAGGCTTTGAGGAGATCAGCAGCACTGAAATGGGGGGAGGGGGGAGAAAGGTACAAACAGTAACTTATGAAAAATGAACATGGAATTAGTTTTGGTACACAATGTGATCCAGTTAGAGCCCTAGCAGTATTGGGTGACATACAAGACAGAGTTTACCTGATAGGAAAGCACTGTGAGATTTGGGGCGGTGAGTTCTGGCCAGGGGTGTGCTTGTTCATTTCAGCACTTCAGGCCATGTTCATAGTTGCGCCATCCGTGACCGCGCGGCAATAGTGCAAGAAACTGCGCGGATTGCCGTGCGGTCACTGAGTTGCACTTCACTGCTGATTGTGCTGGTGGACCCATTCTTTTCTAAAGGTTTCCCGCCGCAATTCTGCCCGTGTAATCAAACACGATCGCTGCTTAAAAAAACCGCTGCCTGTCGCAAAAAAAGGTACGTTACCTTTTTTCAGCGATTGCAGCGCAGATGTAACCCCATTGAAATCAATGGGGCAGCGCGGCAACCGCTGTGTGCAACCACACACGATGGTGCTGGCCCCGGAACATACATCCCGGGATCGCCCGGGTCTGCACCAGCCCTTAGAAATGTTAATGGTATTAGTCCTCACAAGATTGTCCTTCTGCGCTTTTCCTTGTCGGCTCATTATAATGTTCTGAAAGGCTTTCTGATAGGAGGGTGTGCCGGGGCTTACAGCCAATTGACTGACTGCCCTTGAATAGGCACATTGTTAATCATGTGAGATGCTGAGAGGCGATCACTTCCTGCAGCTATATTAGATGACACAATACAAGGAGTTCCCACACTTTCCTCAAGAGAGACGTGTCATTAGTTGCAAGCCGGGATGAGTGACGTGGTGTGCTATAGAAGGTGATCATGTGATATAGGATTTTACCTCTATTTTCTTTTTATAGCTGATCTTTCAGGGAGTCGTGTGTGTGTGTCATACACTACCCTTTGTCACAAGGCGTCCATAAACAAATTGAGTGACATATTGGGACTGCTGCTCTGCAGAAGTGAATGCAGCTCTGTTTTGTGCATGGCAAAATGCAAATGGGGCAAATAACACAACCCAAATCCTTCCTCAGGAAAACCACAACACATAGTATAGCAAAAATATTTGGGGGTGCTGATTTCAGATGATTGCAAAAAGCCACTGTGGCCTGGCGGTGGGGAAGCAAATAGAATTCTAGGGGTGCATCAATACAGGGATCACAAGCATGAGGAAATAGGCCCTGATTTTTCTATATAGGCCTTTTAGTTATCACTAGAGGATCTCTCCAGCAGGAGGAAGGAGGTCCTGATTCCTCTATATAGATCTTTAGTTATCACTAGAGGGATCCCCAGCAGCAGGACGGAGGTCCTGATTCCTCTATATAGATCTTTAGTTATCACTAGAGGGATCCCCAGCAGGGGGAAGGAGGTCCTGATTCCTCCGTATAGAGCTTCAGTTATCACTAGAGGGATCTCCAGCAGCAGGACGGAGGTCCTGATTCCTCTATATAGATCTTTAGTTATCACTAGAGGGATCCCCAGCAGGAGGAAGGAGGTCCTGATTCCTCTATATAGATCTTTAGTTATCACTAGAGGGATCCCCGGCAGCAGGAGGAAGGAGGTCCTAATTCCTCAAAATTGTTCTTTAGTTTTCACTAGAGGGATCCCCAGCAGGAGGAAGGAGGTCCTGATTCCTCTATATAGATCTTTAGTTATCACTAGAGGGATCTCCAGCAGGGGGAAGGAGGTCCTGATTCCTCTATATAGATATTTAGTTATCACTAGAGGGATCTCCATCAGGAGGAAGGAGGTCCTGATTCCTCTATATAGATCTTTAGTTATCACTAGAGGGATCCCCAGCAGGAGGAAGGAGACAGGTCTCAGGGATAAAACGTATCGGAGAGACTGCAGGAACTTGATATGTCCAGTGCCAAGGATAGAAGAGGGACACTATTAAGGGTGTGACTATGGTTCGGGGGGGGGGCAGTATTTTCAATATAAAGTCAAGAGCAAGAACACGGGGACATGACCTCAAACTAGCATGTGGAAAGTTTAAATGTAACCTTAAAAGTATTGTTTTACCAAAGGTGTAGCTAATGCTTGGAATAGACATCCAGAAGAGGTAGGAAGTCGATCAACGGTAATTTAAATGTAAACATGCTTGGGACAAAAAGAGAAGGATAGATGATTCATATAAGCTAAGAAGAGAAAAACAAAAGGGGCAGGCCCGATGGACCTCTTGGTCTTTTTTTTTGCCATCACTTGTCTTTGCTGTTGGCCTTGGTGTCCACTAAGTTCAAAAAGCGTGTAAAGATGAACACTTATTGGTCATTATTGCCCCTTTTTTCCTGCTTTTTTTCCCTCCACATATCCATGTATTATATTCTATTAGATTGCACTTATTGGCTGGACTCTGATTGTTGGTTGATCTCGTCTTTTTTTTCTGGTTCCCAGGCTCTTCCAGTGACCCATCATGCCGGAACACAGCGATGCCAGCCTGCCCCCAGAGGAGCGGCTACGGGCTTTGGTACAGAAGGGGACATCCGTGGAAGTGAATGATGACATACCACTGAAGCGCTACTACCGATCTGGGGTAGAATTGATCCGTATGGCCATTGTGTACACAGGGGAGGGCAATACAGAACACGCTTTTATCTTGTACAACAAATATATCACGTAAGTGTAGCGACCTCCTTTCAAACAAAAAGTCAGCTTGACTCGGAATAATCAGTTATCGTATAATCATTTTTTATACAGTGATATCTTTACTCAAATGTGGAACATAGTGGTGTCACATGAAGTGTGATTCATCATTTTCAGCAAGGGAGAATGTATAGGGATGTCCCGGTGCCACTTTTTTTAAGACCAAGTACTTTCCCTCGAGTACTCGCCGATACCAATTACCGATACTTTTTCTTAAAGGGACATGTGACATTTTTTCTAAACTATTACAGACTGAAGATTTTAGGGCAGTTTCTCACCGGGCTAAATACGGATGTCCCCAGAGCAGAATACATGTCACCAGGCTGCATGTGGATCTCTGCAGGGCTCTGCGAGCAGTTCCTATGCTGTGGAGAGTGTCGGAGTCCGGGGCTGTTTTGTGCGGTGTGGGGCTGTCCATGGTTGCGCCGGGACGGAGGAGGCTGCCGAGGTCCCCACAAGCGCGGAAACTCGGACAGCCGCTGCGGTTTAAAAATTTAAAGGGCCAGTATCGGCCTTAAGAATCGGGGCATTTTCACGAGTATAAGCGCTCCTGAAAATGCCTGGTATCGGCCCCGATACCGATACTAGTATCGTGACATCCCTAGGAATGTATCTAGAACATAAGAATTGCCTCTCATGTGAATTATCTTTGTTTTAGGTTTAAAGCTCATCTCCGGGCAAACAATAAAGTACCCCTACAGTGGGGCTACCCCCGCACTGCAAGGGTTAAAGTGACACCAAACTCAGGAGTTAAATCTTTAAAATGCATTTAAGTACCTTAACCATTAACAACAGTGGGGGGGAATTTATCAAAACTGGAGCAGACAAAACTGGAGCAGATTTGCATGACAACTAATCAGCTTCTCTCCTTCATTTTCAAATCTTACCTGAGCAAACTGAAGAGAGATGCTGATTGGTTGCCGTGGGCAACTGCTCCAGAATCTGATACATTTCCCCAATGTATCTTATTTGTGTATCACTCGGCTGTAGATCTCCAAATCATCTCTGAATTGGTGCTGACACTGTCCTTCCTTCTGGAGGGGGGCTACTTTTGTTCCCCATTCCCCCATAGTGTGTGGTGTAAAGTAGTCACCATTTCAAGCTCACTCCTGCGATGGATTACAATCTAATGTTCAGTTTACTAATTTGTGCTGACATTGTAGTCCATCCCGGGAGTGAGCTTGGAGCGGTGACTACTTTACACCACATACAGGGACCATGGGGAAGAAAAGTAGCCCCCCTCCAGAAGGAAGGACAGTGTCAGCACCAATTCAGAGATGATTTGGAGATCTACAGCCGAGTGATACACAAATAAGATACATGTTTGGTAATTGTTAAGGTGCTTGGATGTATTTTTAAGATTTAACTCCTGAGTTTAGTGTCACTTTAATGCTCATTTTAGTTTCTTGTCATGTTTTTCTGCTCTCTCTGTCATTGCTGGGGAGATTCATCCCTCTGTTTGTCCTGGTGATCATTGCCCAAAGTCAGGGAAAATCCAAAATTAGCTGTCAACAGAGCAAGATGTGAAGGTAATTCCACCATTCAGGACACCCGATTCTATTACAACTCCCAGAGATGGGAATTTCATTTACTTTGGAGAGATTTTTTTCCCCCCATTTCTTGATGCATCTTCAGAACAGGAAGTGAAGTGAAGTGAAATCTGTCCAACAGGACAGGTAGCAAAAAATGACCTGATAAGAATTTTATTCCTATCCTATGTTAAGTTTTGGCTTTACACAACACTTTAAGCAGAATAGTCAACACAGTGTACAATGTCGGGAAAATGCACAGTAAATAAAACCAGAACTGTTGTTATTTTTTCTTTTGCTTTAGGTTGTTTATAGAAAGGCTTCCTAAGCATCGAGATTACAGAACGACCAATGCTGTAGAGAAGAAGGAAACATTAAAGGTGAGTGGCCCTGGCTGGAGGCATTGCTCACTGGCTGCATTTGGTAGAGTGAACCGATTTGTAACCTTCCTCTTGTAGAAACTAAAAGAAGTGGCTTTCCCAAAGGCAGAAGAGCTCAAGAAAGAGCTGCACAAGCGATACGGTAAAGAATATGCCGAGTTCTTGGAGAGAAAGGTGAGTTTACAGAATACATTATTTTGGCTGGTCTGCCCAGTAAAGTGAGTGGCCGCTGACGATTTTTGGTGGTGTCCATCTAGAGATGTGAGGAAGAGGAGAGCACACGCCGGCTGGCCCTGCAGCAGCAGCTAGAAGCCGAGAAGCAAAGGGTGGCGCTCATGAAACGGCAGCAAGAACAGCAGGAGCAGTTCCATGCCTTTGAGGAGATGATCCGAAGGAAAGAATTGGAGAGTGAGAGGCTACGCATCCTAAATCAGTTCTCAACGGACACCCCTGGCTCAAAAGTGTCTGAAGGACCCCTCATCCCGGGCGTTACCGAGCCCCCTACCACTCCACAGCTCCCCACAAATGACACTGTCCTACCAAGGCCACCTGTTGTTGACAGGACTCTAAAGCCGGCAAGTCATCATGAAGGCTGTAAGTAAGACACTGCATCTTACACCACAGTGGTGCTCATGTATAAAAGTTAGAGGAAAGGGCTAATGTGGTATGCAATTGGTACCTGCAAGCAACACCTCCACTTTCTTCATAATATCATGGGGACAATTGATTAAAGCATTTGCTGCTTTTTTCTGGCATTGTGCCTAGGGTTGCCACCTGTCCCGGATTCACCTGGACAGTCAGGGGTTTAAGGCCGGTTTGTGCTGTGTCTGAGTTTCAGCTGGCCTGAAACCCGGAAACAGCACATACAGGAGTCAAAACCCGGACAGTCCAGGTGAATCCGGGACAGGTGGCAACCCTATGTGTGCCTGTATTAGAAAAACCTGCGCCAAATTCACCAAAGCTGCGCAACAGTTTTCTTGGTGGTTCTGACGCATGCGACAAATGAGATTAGTTCTTATGTGCGACACTTTTACATTCTGGCACTATGGCTGCAACATATTCATTAAGAAATATCGCCATATCGGTGAAAAGAAAAGTGGAGGTAGATAAGACCTCTTCCATGTTGAAGTTAAGTGTGTTGCATGTGTAAGTATTGCGTTGCAAAACAAAATTTGCATGCGTCGCAGAGGCAACTCTGCAACAGATTCATATACACCTTACTGACATTTGCATCAGTCTAAAGCAGAAATAGCCAGCACTCAAACACTGTGAGGGGGATTTATCAAAACTGGGGCAGACAAACTAACTGGTAGCCATAGGCAACTGCTCCAGATTCTATCTTTCATTTTCAAAGCTAAACTGAAGAGAGAAGATGATGGTTACTATGGTCAACTGTTCCAGATTCTGTCTGGCCCAGTTTTGATTCCCCCATATGTATTAAAAGCAGAGGTGTTAGCAGCATATATTTGCAGTAAATCTATGTGGAAGCCACACTGTCGCTTCAAGGCCCTTCTGTATAGCGTGCTCCCTAATCCGGCAAATTTTCAACCTGGGACATGCACAGCAATAAATAGATTAAGGAGAACTATGGGGTAAGTGTTTTTCCCCATAGTTCTCCTAAGGGTCACGGGAGGACACAAACTAGCGGCCTCCCGTGACCCAAAGCTCATTATACCGCGAGCTACAGCTCGCGGTATACTGAGAGCGCCGCAGCTAGGGCGGATCCCAACATTACTGTCGAGATCCACCCAGCTGCGTGATTGACAGCTGGTTCTGCCTATCTAGAGCCAGCTGTACCCTCCCCCTTCCGCTCCACCAGTCAGCGCTGGAGGATCGGACAGGGGAGGGGGGGAATCCCTGCAGGGAGCCGTGAGTGACAGACACTGCTCTCTGCAGGGAGATGATCGAGAAGTGAGCGAGCGACGGTATGTGTTCGCTCACTTCCCGATCTATTGAGCCGACGCGTGACAGTTTAATTGTCACACGTCAGCTCGAACTATGAGGTTGAGGGATTTTCACTCCCCTCATAGTTCTCCTTTTTAAAGGTAGGTGGATGTTTCCAGCACACTCACCAGCCAGTCATCTTAGGAATTCAGCACTGTGTCCCAGGAAAGGGCAGCATGAATATTATGGTGGTGCTGGTGACAGCCAAAATAACTAACATTCAGAATCCTGTCCCGCATAATCACCCAAAGTCGGTGCAGTAGGATGTGCTGCCAGCAGAAATAGCCAGCAATAGCAATGTGGCTTCCACATAGATTTGCCATTTGTTCCACAGACCGGAGACAGAACTTTGAACTGTCACAGTGGCGTCACAAGGAGGGTGCGTGTGGTGCGGCCCGCACCCGGGTGACACCATTGGAGGGGTGACACCAAAATGACTCAGTCACTTTGGTGTCACCCCCCTCTGAAAAGTCGGACGCTCAGTCATGGACCGAACGCCCGACCAGTATCAGGAGAGAGGAGGGGACACGGCGGCATACCTTATCCTGCCGGGTGACTTTCCCCTCCTCTCTCTGCCGGTGTCCATCACCAAGATGGCCGCCGGCAGGTATCGGAATACTGCCGCGCGTGCGCAATGGAATCATCGCGCACGTGCGTGGTGACGTCATGAGCAGTGACGTCTCGCCGTGTGACACTCGGTTATCGCTCCGGGTGTCACCCAGCCTCGGGACGCCCCTGAACTGTCAGACAGAATTTTAGGGACTGGGTCTTCGCTATAAACACAGGAGATATTGCAGAGTAGAAATGTTCCTTACCTACTAGACACATTTCCACCATGCTCCACTGTTTTTCTTCTGCTTATGAACATGTTTTATGTATAATAGTGTTACTTTTCTTCTTTTGATATATAATACCTTTTATTTTAGTACTGCAAGTATCACCATAAAGCCTTCTTGGAGGATAAGTGCGATTTAATGCGACGTGCACCTTTTCCTATTTCTCTCGTTGCCTTGACTTAAACTAACCCACCCTCCCCCCTACACCAGCGGGGGGGAGAAGATTCTGGCCTTTCAGTCGTGGTAAAACTACAAATTCTGTCATGGCTGTGTGAATCTTGCAATGCCTCATAGGTTTTGTAGTTCCACAAGAGCTGGAGGGCCGGAGTTGGTGGACTCAGTACAATTGTCATGGCCTATGGTGTTTGTTTACATCCAGCATAAAAAGTTTCCCAGCACACTCACCAGCCAGCATGCAAAAAAACTTGTCTCACCGCTAAGGTTAAAAACAGAGGTTTAGATACACGTCTTCTGCAGAATATGTGAAAGCCGTACTGCCTCGTCAATGCTCCTCTGTGTAGTGCCGTCCTAACTCTAACCTATGAGAGTCTCCATCTTGGAGCACATAGAGCAAAAGACAAAATTGGGTGCAGGTTCGCCAGGAGGCGGCCAAACGTCCTAAAAGGAACAGGGACACACAAGGGACCCCGCACATCACAACAGCAGCTGAGACCCCCAGTGTGTCACTGCACCAAATCAGACAAGCAAAACAAATGGCAAACGCACTCATCAACTCATAACCAGCAATCACTAGATTAACAGTGAATACTGAAATAAAAGCTTCTTTTATATTTCACCTTTTAAATGGGTTATTCATTTTCATGTCATTGTGGGCGGGTGTTCTGCATTATTTGTGTTTTACCTCTGCCTAAAGTTCACATTTAAGAAAAGCAGAAATGTAAAATAATTTTTTGTGCACTAAATGTTCAAATGGTTCTTATTTTTTTTCTTTGCAGCAGCTGGCAATGATGGACTGCGCCATCTCAGGATTCCTCGGGAAGCGTGTGTGAAGTTTCTAAAGCTGGCAGAGGTGAACACACAAAAAGCAGTGGAGACCTGTGGCATCCTGTGTGGGAAGCTGGTAAGAATGTGATGGCCCTGTCTGTCCTTAACTGCTTGAAGACCAAGTGTTTCACCCCCTTCCTGGCCAGGCCATTTTTCAGTATTCAGCGCTGCGGTACTTTGACTGACGTTTATTCCGTCATGCAACGCTGTACTGAAATGAATTTTATACCATTTTTTGGGGACAGATAGAGCTTTCTTTTGGTGGTATTTAATCACCACTGGGGGTTTTATTTTTTACTATAATTAGGAAAAATTACTGATGATTTTGAAAAAAAGTTTTTTTTTACATTATGTTAGGAAACATTTATTATTACCCAGTTTTTTGGTAAAATATAAAAGTCGGGGTCACGTCGGGTAAAAAGACACCAAACACGTCAAGCTTTAAAATTGCGCGCACCCGCGACATCGCTTAAAAAAATTCCATACCCAAAATTGGCCATAGGCGACACTTTAAAAGCTTTTACCGCTCATCAGTTTAGTGTATCAGTGATTGATGGCACTAGACTTATTGCTCTCACTGCGACGTTCGCGGCGATATGTAACATGTGCGGCGTAATGGGCGCAATCGTCTTTTTTTGCACGTATGCGCCCCCGACGCATGTTTGCATGCGTGTATGTATGGGTGGGGACTTTAAAATTATTTATTTTATTCTTTTTTATGTGTCAATTAAAAAATTTTGGGAGGGACTTTAATTTTTTTTTCCTATTTTTTTTTTTTTCCACTAAACTTTATTGCTATCAGATAGGGGGCTAATAAAACCCTCCCATGTGATAGCAAAATATGTGACAGGTCCTCTTTATTGGGGGGGCACCGATCGTTACCCCATACAAGCGATCCGCCGGCTCTACAGCCAGCGGATTGCTTGTATGTTATCAGGCATCGCTGCCTGTTTTTAAATATCGGCCATTTCCCGCTCGCGCGCGCCCAGCTGCCCGCGCGAGGGGGTGTGTCTGAGCGGACGTCTAAAGACGCCCACTCAGATCTAGAGAGCTCCCGGCCAGCAGTTTTTTTTTTACTACGGCCGGCCTGGAGGTAGTTAAAGAGACACTAAACTCCAGGAATTAAACCTTAAAAATACATTCAAGTACTTTATCTATTAACAGAAATGTATCTCATTTGTGTATCACTCGGCTGGAGATCCTCAAATCATCTCTGAATTGGTGCTGACACTGTGCTTCCTTCTGGATGGTGACTACTTTTGTTCCCCATGGTTGTAAAGTAGTCACCACTCCAAGCTCACTCCTGTGATGGACTACAATCTCATGTTTAGTTTATTCATTTGTATTGGGATTGTAGTGCATCACAGGAGTGAGCTTGGAGCGGTGACTACTTTACAACACACACAGTGACATGGGGAACAAAAGTAGCCCCCCTCCAGAAGGAAGGACAGTGTCAGCACCAATTTCGGAGATGGTTTGAGAATCTACAGCCGAGTGATACATAAATAAGATACATTTCTGTCATTAGGTAGGAGGTAAGTCCGCATATGTAGAGGGGGGAGAGGGTTAGGTTAGACGAAGGGGAAAAAGAATAAGTGCAGATTGCTGCAACATTCAATTATACTTTAATATGTTTGAATTACACAAAAATACTAAATTCTCCTTTCCATGCTTTATATAAATCGCATTTTCCTAACCTGATCTATTCTTCTCTTCCTAGTTGCAGAATGAATTTACCATCACTCACGTCATTGTGCCTAAGCAGTGTGGTGGTCCCGATTATTGTAACACTGAAAATGAGGAAGACCTGTTCTTGATTCAGGACCAGCACGGGCTTATAACACTGGGATGGATACATGTACGTACAAGTTTCAACTCTAATGTTTTGTGGTTTCTAGTTCATGGTCTGATTGTTTTTTGCCGTGCAGACCGCTTACTAATTGTTTCCAGCCCATCTCCGACAGAAATGGAGGGAATTTACAATGTCAAAAATGTGAGGATAATAAAACTGCACTTCGTGGCTCTTCCTTTTTTTTTAAATTGAAAGGGTTTCTAAACCCTCTGGTTTTTTTTGCATATATCTACAGCTAGCGAGCAGTAGATATATGCAAAAAGTTTTTTTTTTAAAAACCGCTTTAACAGCGGTTTAAACTTACCCCGTCTTCGCCGCGCGCTCCCATCCGAAACTGCTCGGGTGGCCGCAGAGCATCTTGGGGCGGGCTCATGCGCAGTTTGGATTTTCGGCCGGGAGACGAGGAAAGACGCAAGGTAAGTCTATGGACGCGTGCACCCGCATGCAGACACCGGGGGATCGGAAGTACCAGCAAGGACAGAGGAGTCAGCGCTGGATCGGACACCTGCCGCAGCGCTGGAGAGAAGGCTGAAAAGGACAGGAAAGAAGAGGAAGATCGGATTGAGAGACATCAGTTGAGGTAAGTGCTGACATTACCATTGGGGGGAGGAAAACAAAAACTTGACTTTAATGTCACTTTAATTCACAAACCTTTAACGCAGAGGTAGGGCTCATTCACACCATCTGCATTCGGGCTGCACTTGCTGGTTTTTCTAGTACAGCCCGATTGCAAGACAATTTGCTTTGTCATGAGGGGTGAACGTTCACACTACTGCACTCTGGTGGTGTGCGATTTAAAAAAAAAAAAAAAGCTACAGCATGCAGTGCACCGCAGTGAGATGCAGTACAGCCATATTGCACCGCGGTAAGACCATAGAACATAATGAAATGTCACTTGAGACATTTCAATAAAGTTCTAACAAAAAAAGAAGAAAGTGTAATGTGGCATTGAGCGCATCAGCACTGTCCAGGCACACACACACTAGCAGCCGGTGCAGTTGAGCATTGCTGTTGGTGTGAACCGTGTTGTTTTCTTTTTTTTTTTATATCTCATTGGACTTCGTTGAAAAAAAACAAACACATTTTTGAAAATCAAGAACCTTATCCTGATGTCTTAGCTTTGTAAATTGTGCTTCATAAGTTTTAGAGAGTGGTTGCTTATCCTTGTTGTTGTTGTTCTTCAGGATTCATATAGATCCAACAGTTTGCTTTAGAAAATAAAGGGACACAATAGAGTTCTAATACAGGAGGGTTAGGAGGACCCTGATCGTGAGAGCTTACAATCTTAAGGGAGGGGCAAGTCATAAAAAAGATAGCTGCATGGGGTTGAGTTCATTGGGATGGTAATAGTTCAGTTTGGTACAGGTAGGTTAGGCTTCCCTGAAGAGATGAGTTTACAGGGACCACCAAAAGACAGACAGAGTAGGAGATACCTGGGCAGGTTAGCATAGGGAGTTTGAGGAAGGGAGAAGCTCTGGAGAAGTCTTGGAGGTGAGAATAAGAGGAGGTCCTGAGGAATCTATACATCAAAGTCTTGGGAGGAGTGAAGAGTTTATGTGATATTTTGAGGTTGGTGATGTGGCTCAGGGCAGAAGTGTGAATGCCTTTGTTTGGTGGGATTGACAGAGGGGGGTGATGGACACTGAACAGTTGGTAAGGTGGATGAGTCTGGCAGCACCCAGTTAGGATACACTGAAGGGAGTTGTGTTAAGCTGCCCATACACCTATAGATTATCTGCAGATTTTCTATATTCAAAAAAAGTGCAACAGATTCCTCCATCTACCCTAAACTGTGTGTATGGAGGAATCTCCCGCTGGGCCAAGCTTCAGTATCTTGCTAGTCGGCCCCGCTGGCTCTCAGAATACCTGAACAATCTGATTGGATGCCGGCATGGTTCAGGTATTTTGAGAGCCAACGGTTGCGCAACAGACGCGCATATGCAATACGCCTAGGTGTGAACAAGACCTTAGTCTGAGATGACAAGTGTTGTTTTAAACATCTGCATGGCACATATATAGGAGTAGAACAAGTCCCAAGCTTGGTAAATGTAAGTTTCTTTTTTTTAATTTTAATAATTAACAATCGGGAACATGTATCCAGCACAACGATTAAAAAAAGTACAGAAAACAATACAGTTCATGATAAAACACTAACAACTTTTATGTTGTCAGATCCCCCCAGGCTCTCCTATTCTCAGCTATTTTATTTTCTCATTCATATGAATACCATTAATCTTACTTTAGAGCACGTGAACCCTTATGTACCTTTGTAAAGCACCCCATCGTGCTTTGTAAATGTGTGGTGCTCCTTTTTTTTTAACTTGGAAGTAGTGGTATGGTGGTTGTAAGCCCATACTGCAGCTTTTCTCAATGGTGCCTTAAGGTTAGCCATACACCTGAAGATTGCACTTGTTCAGCCCTCTAAACAGCGTGGATTGAGGAATCTGTACCTTTTTTAGTTATTTTTTAGGCACCTTTTTTTAGGCATGCAGAGCTGCATGCCGATGTGATTTTACTGAAAGGGGGTAAAGGTCTGCTTTAGTCACAATACATGGAAAAAAAACCATGTACAAAATAACTCTAGATTTCCTTTACATACTTTATTATTCTGCACAGATTCCTGGATTGCATTTCATTTAACTGTTCATTGTATGACTAGGTGCGGTCTGCGTGTGGTGGGTTTCCTTGCTAAGAATGTATTTCTAGCTTCACCTATATTCATAAAATAAACTGGCTGTATCACCATGTCAGGACCCTGTTATTCATAATGTTATCGGAGAGGTCCGGGGACTTGCACAAGAACCATACCAGCAAAATCTGCCTGAATAGTTAATTTGACCATTCAAATTTTTTTTTTTTTTTTTTTTTTTTCCCACAGACCCATCCGACTCAGACTGCCTTCCTCTCCAGCGTGGACCTGCACACTCACTGCTCCTATCAGATGATGCTGCCAGAGTCCATTGCCATTGTCTGCTCCCCAAAATTCCAGGAGTAGGTACCACTTTCTTTTATTACCCTGCAGCAAGGAAATTGTTCAATGTAATCAGCATAGCAGTGTCTTAGATGGAGGCTGGTAATTAAACAGAATAGGATGTGAGAAGAAAGTCTAGTGAGAAGAAAGTCTCAAGAGTGTTGTGACCATAAACGTATCTTGTGCCTTTGGTTGCAGGTTTATAAGTTGTTCACCAGACAGGAAAGAAGGAGAGGAGATATCCTTTTCCCAGTACTAACAAATTCATTTTAAACAGATGAGCACCAAGTGTTTCATTGCTCCTGGAACTTGTGTTAGAGGTGGCCTTGGTTGGCGTGTGCTGTAGCTCTCTCACTATTATGGGAGGCCTTCAGCAAGCTAAAATGTAGAAATGTCACCAGCACACCAATCCTTTTAAGATAGCAAAAGCTTCATTTATTGAAGTTTTTTGTCATATGACCAAACAAGCGCTTTCGGGACCACGCAGGGTCCCTTCATCAGGCTTTAGCATTGACTGATGAAGGGACCCTGCGCGGTCCCGAAAGCGCTTGTTTGGTCATATGACAAAAAACTTCAATAAATGAAGCTTTTGCTATCTTAAAAGGATTAGTGTGCTGGTGACATTTCTACATTTTTGCTGACATTCGCAGCGCCATCCGCGGTCACTGCGAGCACCCCCCACTACAAGGGACATATCGGTAAGGAGTGCGACAAGGATAGTACTTATTGCCTTCAGCAAGCTGAGACAATGGAGGCTATGTTCATTTCAGAAGTAAACATTTCTTAACCTTTCAGTGCAGTACATAGTCTGAGTGTCAGGGGGCCCTTGCCCTTCATAAATACCATAGACCAAGCAATTTTTTTATGTGTTCAGCACAGTACTGTAAGCCTCCAGGAACTAAGAACAATGATAGCCAAACACAAAGTCAGACTTAAAGAAAAGGTCTCACCTTGTATTATTTTTCCATGGCCCAGACACCGAACTCCCACAGTGTATGTTGCTTTGTATCCCATGCAAATGGGTGGAGTAGAAACTGAGATACAGACTTTGACACTTCTCTTCATTCCCAACCACGATCTACAAGGGAGACGGCCTCTTGATTGCCCGCTCTTATGGCGCTGTCACTGCACTTTCCCAACACTAAACAAGGCTCCCTTCCAGTTCTAGTACTTGTGTTAATTCCCGTGAGAATGTGCCTCCTTCCTCTGCATTTCTGTGACCTCACCTATGTCTGGAAAGTGCAGGGACAGGGAGATGTTAGCTGTCAATCAAGATTCCATCTTTGCAAAGCGTGTTTGGGAATGAAGAGGAGTTATCTGTCCATGTCTGGATCTCCGTTTCTACTGCACACAGACGCGTGGGACATAAAGCAACATACCCTGGGGCAGTGAGATGACTGAGCTGTAAAAACATAATACAGGGTGAAGCGACTTTGTTCTTTGTTCCTAGAGGCTTACAGTACTGTTAGGGCACCATTAAATGCAGGGTGGGGGAGGGGTGGAATTTTTTAAATTGGACCCTTCTTTTTTTAAGCGTTTTAGATCATCGGGGAAAAGGTAAGGACCCCTGTAATTTGTGTGCATCTGCTGCTCCCATTGGAGAAATAAAGTGAGAGGAAGTCTTACTACACAGGACACCAATGCCAAAAATACTAAACTATAAAACAAAGTTGTAACTATAGTTAATCCAGGACTAGGGATCCTTGGCACACCAGCTATTATGGAGCTACAATTCCCCTGAGGCATTGCATGACTCCAAGAGGCCGAAGCAGGATAGAATTTGTAGTTTCACCAGAGCTGGAGCATCAAGATTACCTACCTCTGAGTTAGACTAAAATACATTGTGCAAAGCTGAATTTACAGTTTTATCTTGTGAATGGTAAAATACCAAAATAAATTACTGGAATCCAAGCAGAAACAGAGAATAGTTTGTGTAATTAGCTTTATTATACATCATATGCTGAATCTTACTGAAGTGTACTTAAAGAAGAACTCCAGGCAAAAGTATTCTTGTCTAGCACCTAGACAAAAATGAGCACTTAACCTTTGCACTGTGTGGGTAGCCCCATTGCAAGAGTTCAGAACAATTCTGCCCGGAGTTCTGCTTTAAGAGTCAGAATGAACAGGCAGCAAGTAAGCCTTTTCTCGAGTATTTTCCTGCAGCCTTCCCCTTTCCTTTCATGGAGTTAGTAGAGGATCTGTACAATCCAAGAGTATCACTGTGGGCAACATAACAACAACAACATGCAAGTACAGAGACCAGGAGGAGTGAAAAGCTGTGATTTACTTATTCATGGCTGTGATGTCAAAGC